CTGAACCATAGAGGGAACAGCTTCAGAAGAAGAGCAGAAATCAGACTGAAGCAACTCAAATACAAGAGGTAGTTGCAATGTTTAAAATAATCATGTTACTCAAGTAGCTTGTAACAAACCACTAAAAAAAGAAGAAAAACGATCAACAAAAGGACAGCAAATGCTGTAAAGCAGCAGCCTAGCACTGTTCTCTTGAAGGGTTTCATTCCAGAGAACAATTCATCCCATCCTGCTTTAGGACCTTATCAGACAATAACCCAGGACTTAAAAATGAAGACCTTAATAGGAATTGGGCTCTTATTAAAAAAATATTAAAATTTTTCATTTTATGACGGTAGCAGAATTTGCTACGCTTTGTTCAGATTAGCATCACTTCACCTATCTTCAAGTGGGGAAATGAAAAACAAAAGCTGGAGCTACCTGATAGAAAGAAGAATACAGTGAAATTCTGCAAATTCTTAATACCATGTGCCAAAACAAAACAAAATTACAATTTTCTTAAATGAAAGACTTATACTGTAGGAATGTGGTTAAAATACATTTTTGATGGCTACAAAACATTAATCATAAAAAGGACTATCATTAATCCAGGGGCTATTCCTAGCTATTGTCTACCTGATAAAAAGTAATCTCTTCACTTCCATGCAATTTAAGTGAAGCAAACTCCAATTCATTGCTTCAAAATGAGCTACCTCTGAAGAGTCCTTATCTTTCCTGATAATAGTACTTCTGTGTTCACTTCCTTTGACCTGAACTGAATATGTTTAGTTTCCTTCGCATAAATGAGCTAACTGAGAAGAGCAGCAGCCCAACAGTGGAGGCTAGGATGGCAGGTTAACCCTTCCCTGCCTGCTCCCCTGGGACAGACAGCATGGGCAGCCACAAGTAAGTAATGCCTTAGGGGTAGGGGGAGGCAGGAGGAAGCAGGGGAACCCTGTGGGGCTGGGCAGAGGGGGTGCAGAATGGGAGGGGGAATGGATTCTTACCTTTCCATCCTCCTAGCCTGAAGTGTGACTACTCCAAACTCAAGCTAGCACTAACACCCATCAACATTTGTGCAACTCACAATGTAAGGTGTAACAACGCCCTATATTCTACCATAAATGGACTGGTGGGTTTATCTTTCACAGCTATTGTTGGGTAAAGGGATGCGCCTCTATTTTCCTGAAACAAACTGTGAAATGTTTCCTGTTTATGCTGCTAGAATAAAAACAAGAAGAAAAAAAGAAAGAAAAAATATCTAAAGGATAGCAATATGGAGAATGGAGAAGAAACTATTCTTTTGGCCAACGTGGTGTTAAATTGTAGTAGGGAAAACTTAGGTTTGAGATTAGGAAGGACTTTCTCAGTATGGGCACATCCAGATATGCATGGACGTTTGGTTCCCCAGGGACAAGTAGCAGTGGTGCATCCTTGCACCACTGCTACTTGTCCCCAGGGAATGGCCGTGCCACGCGTACGTTGGCACATGGCAGGTTACCCCAGGAGCAGTAGGTGAGGCTGGGGCCAGCACTGCACTGGCCCTAGCAGCCTTACCTGGGGGCCTCCCAGGGCTGCAGCCATGGTGATCCTGCCAGGCAGAGCCTAGCTGGCAGCCACAGTGAAGCTCCAGGCGGCCCGGCTCCACTTTTCAGCAGCACATGCTGCCTGAGTGTGCGCTGCTTTGGTTTTTTCCAGTTTTTTTTTTACCCCTGGATATCCAGGGGTCAAAAAACCTGCAGAAAAAAAGTGGAGCAGCACATGATCAGGCAGTGTGCCCCTGCAACATGGAGAACACCAGACTGTGTAGTATGTGCTGCCGCAAACACGCTCATCTGGACACACCCTATGAGGGTGGTTAAATACTGGAATAGGCTACCCAGAAAGACTGTGAAATCTCCATTTCAGGATTTTTTTTAGAGCAGATGAGACAAATTGGGATGATTTAGTCAGGGAAAATCCTGCCTAGAACAGAGGGTTGGACTAGATGACCTCCTGAGCTCCTTTTTAGACCAACTTTTCTATGATTCTAAGGTACTTGGTACTGTTGAAAGGGTACTTAAGCCACTGGAAAACGTGGACACAAATACATCCTGCATCATTACCTGAAGTGACCTAAGGACTCTGGAGATTTGCTGGTAGAACTCAATTCCAGTGTTGCACTGTGGGGTCAGGCCAACTCTCAGGATCTCAATATCGCGCTGTTAGACAGGACGGTGTGACACAATTGCACATATACAAACACACAAATCAATTAGGTGCATACACACACACACACTACCAGCTCAGGCACATGCACATCCAAACCAGCCTAGGCACATGCATACCTATCACCAATTCAAGTACATACACTATACACCCCAAAAGTTAGACCACACACACACACATATATATATATATATATATATATATATATATACACACACACACACACACTCACCAGTTCACACACATACAACCTACCTACACATACACACAGATAAGTTCCTAACTTGGATGTGTATGTGTGTGCTTGGGGTACCTGGGATACTTGGGAGAAGGTTCAGGTGAGAGAGAGAGAGAGAGTTAAAGTGTAGGGAGTGAAAATTGCCAAAACCAGGATTAGACCCGGGGACTACAGAGAAGCTGGCTGAGGAACTGAGGCTTGGGTTTAAACTGAGGCAGAGAGCTGAGATCTTGGGGTGGAGGGTAGATAAGTGGTGGCAAGGAGGAGACAGCCAGGAAAGAAACTGAGTCTGAAACCTGGTTGCTCAGGGGAAAAGGAAAAGGCAGCGGGGATAAGACAACGGCAAAGAAACAGGGGGTTTGGAGGCAGAGAGGAGCTCAGGACAGGTGTTGGAGGTGGCGGTGAGCCAGAAGCAGGAGAGGGAGAAATGAGACCGAAGTTAGAGGGGTGAGGAGCAGAGATTGGAGCAGGGCCAAACCATAGTAAAGCAAAACCCAACTTAGGGGTCCAAATAACAGTTTTATTAAACAGACAACACACTATACAGCCCCATGAAGTTATTGGTTCATGCGCGCGCGCGCACACGCGCACACACACACGCACTCACAATGGCAGCAGGAGAAAGAGACTCAGTGAAAGGGCTGGAGTCCAGGTAGGGAAGAGAAACAGAGTCCAAGTCCTTGGTTGAAGACAGGGTGGGGGGTGATAGCTACCTATTCAGGCTGAAAAGGGGTCCTTGTCCAGTAGGTGTTGTCCAGAGGGGGGTCGTCAGCAGGGCCTCTGGGTGGATAGGTGGTGTGGCATGGTGCTGGTCCAGATGGAGAGGGTGTCCCACTGGGTCTGTCTTCACTGCCCATTTTTATAGGGGCAAACCTTGTGTGACCCTAGTGACAGGAGCCATGCCCAGGCAAGGGTCAGCCCCTGGTGTACTGAGCATGTGTGCTCCAGGCAGGGATGTACAGTTTCAGGTGTCTGTAATGGTGGGGTACAATGGTAGCGTTGCTGGTTCTGCAGGGTCTTTTGTCTTTCAAATGCTGGGTTCTTGTCTCTGTTCCTGGGTGAGGTCCGTGGTTCCTGGAAGAATCAATGCGAGGTGAGCTAACTTACATATATAGGCCTAAAACAGTAATCACACAATATAAAAGCAGTACAAACTTAATAATTATCACTTATAAAACAGTGGGTATTGATATCAAAATAGCAGGGAACTTATTTGCAAAGAGGGGAGAGAAAAATAAAACTTACTGCCTAAAATAAAATGTTAAAGCTTATCCTACATCTTAGCTTACTTATACTTATCTATAGGGAATAGAGAGGGAGAGAAAAAGTTAAAATGGTTGGGGAAGGGGAGGGAATGCATTTTAAAATAAATAACAAAAGAAAAACTGGAGGTTTTGCTATACCAGAAGTTAAAGGTCCAACATTAATTATAATCTTCCTTATATTGCCATCAGTTTCAGCTTGGGGGTAGAAAACTGGAATGCTCACTACAAGTAGATTGTTTGTATTGGGCTATATGGGGAAAGACAATCTCCTTTTATTACCTAGGTGCCCTGAAGGTTGTTGTTGAGCAAAGAAAATGAAAGTGCTACCCTCTCAATACTATCAGCCAAGTAGTGCACCATGACATCCAACAACATAGTGGTTAGGAAAAGAGAGTAGAGAGGAGGGATATATTTTATTTCCTTGCATAGTTGATGAGAATGTCGGCACTTCTGTGATGTACTGGGCATGTCTACACAAGATGCTTTAATGAGCAGAGGACTGTTCTACTGCACATTAGTGTGTCACAGCAAAAACCATGCTAATGCGCTAATGTTCAGGAGAATTAATCTACTGTGCATTAAGCATCACAAAAAACATTTGCCTTTGCTACTGCACATTAATACAGCTACTGCACCTTTATCTAGTACCTCGTCTTAGAGGTACTAAACTTAATTCGCAGTTGCAAGGGCACATTAATGAATGTGTAGACATGCCCACTGTGAACTTAGCACTGCTAAGTGAACAGATGCAGGAAAATTTGCCAGTGCTATGTGGATTTGTTGCTTAAGAATATAAACTGCTGCAGGTTGTGTGGAAATTGGTGTGTTGTTTGGGCTGGGTTTCCTTTCACACCACTGAAAACAGGCTGCTACAACATCACATTTCCATGCTTCTGGTCATACACTAGCAACCAAAAAAGGGATTAAAGAGAGTTGTTAAATGCCTAGCAATAACAGAAGAGGACAATTGTAAAATATTTCATTCTGCTCCATTAAGCTCCCTTTTCTGTACAGATTAATTTCAGTCAAAGCTTTAATACTTTGTCAGATCGATTGTTACGTGC